CCCTCAACCTCATCACATCTAGAACCCTTACTGTAGCCCTTACCTCCTCATCGCGTTCTAAACCCTAAGCCCTAAACCTTATCTAATTTGGGGGTCCTGATAATAAGGATCCTACTATTTCGGGTACTATCTCAGGGTTCCCCATTTTCGATCGTGTTCTTCACTGAACCCTTGCAGTAACCGTCAGAGTCAAAGCAGCAACCCAGAGACTGCCCCAGGTGGGGCCTTCAATGAATTCAAGGATGCAGGGTTCGCTTAAAAATTAGAGCTTCAAGGTTTGAGGGTTTATCCTAATGGGCTCTTTTCCAGCTGCAGGTACAGAAAGAATTCCTTACCAGGAGGTTTGAGGGTTTAGGGCTCAGGGCTTTTCAGCGCTTAGAGCTTTCGGTTTGCGGATTAGGGATTTGGGCTTTAAGGATCGCTTCTTCCTTTCAAGATTGGTCCTGTCATCCCGCCCTCCCCAGGCCCGCCTTGGAAATCTTTCTGGAGAAAGCGGCTACCGTAATAATTTTCAAAGTTCAGAATAGCTGCGGATGCATGGTGCTTGCTTAAAGGATCATGGGACTTAGTAACTAGGGATATAATTAGGGTAACTATACTTATAACCTCAATTAGGGTACTTATAACCTTACTAACTAAGTCCCATGATCCTCCCAGTGGGAATTCACCATTCAGATGTGCGCGGCTTTTCAGAGATTGTTGCTTTTCAACAGGGTCAAAACAGCTTGAGTTCAGGGAATTGAGAAATCCAAAAAACCTGCAGGAGTTGTCGTTTCTAACTAAACCGGAAACTAGACATCCGAGAAGCCTACTAATCGTGAGCCCAAGCCTCTGGACCCTCGCAACAAAATTAGATCTGCCACCACAAACAGGAGGCTTCTCCATTCAGGGGCACAATCTTACATTGGAGTGTCTTATGTTACCTTGAAAATACATGTCTGTTGGTCTATTCGGTTCTATTCCCTTTTAGTCTTTTGTCTATTATGAAGTTATTATGGGCTCAGGCTTTCGAGTTGAAGGTTTTGGGGCTTCAGGTGTTGGTCTTCGGCTCTTGAAGACTCATCAGTCAAGACTTTCGGAAGTTTTGCCGGTTTCACAGCTGAGGTTTCAAAAGAACGAAAACAGGTTCAAGTTTGGGTTTGGGGGCCTCAGGTTCCAGAGCTGCGTGGCGGCAGCTGCTTACAAGGCTTAGTGGAGAGAATTTCGCACAAGCGGGGCACGCTACAGTGAAGCCATACATGGACTGTAAGGGGACGTAGGAAAGTTGAGTCAAGTGCCCGTCCGTCAAGTCACAAGTCATATCTTGCAGCATGCTCGAGGTAGGGTTGCTTGGATGGATGTGTGCTTTAAGGAATGAACATCAACCAAATGGGAAGCTAAAACTGCTTGCAGGATCAGGTGATGTAGTAATGCAGCACGCAAGGTCACCTCCAAAAAATCTCCTACAGCGCAGAACACTCTAATACCCTTGCACATACCCAAGGAAACCTAACCCCTAAGCATTGAAACCCCTCTTGACAGGAACCCTGCAAACGGCCCAATTAAAACCCCTACTAAAATCTATAAACCGCCCCTTTGATTCAACCCAGAAAACGAAAGCTTCGGGAGCCACGGGCGGCGGGACCCTCGTCTCGGCCGCGCGTGGCGCCGAAGCTACGATCTGAAAGGCTTTTTGAAGGTCCTTATAGAGGCTTATAGGGATTAGTAATAAGGGCTGAGGGTTTATTGGGGTTTAGAGAGGTTTAGAAGGCTTGTATAGGATTTTACAAGTTGCTGCAGGGTGTTTTGATAGAGAGGTATTCAGATGGGGGCTTTCTTGATTTTTTGGGGGGGTTGTGTAGGATTACACGTGCTTTTTCGGTGTGCCCCCCAGTGTTCTAAGCTGGGTTTTGCCTGGTTTTGCTACGGTTTAATGGTTTTTAGTCATCGGGTTGTGGGGAGAGCTGAGCAAATTGAATTCTTAACCTGCTTGCAGCAGGGCCCTGTGAATGTCAGGTTCACCTGGTCTCTACTAGTTTGACTTGCTAGAAAACCCTTACATTATGCAGGACATACCATTGCAATTGAAAGAAGATTCCATGATCTTGGGTTGGTCTCTGTAAGGTTGCGGGGGGGAAAAGGACTTAAGGCTTATCACTCCGATCATTCCCACAGCGATGCGACGGGGTACTTGGAGTCTTGTAGGCTTGCATTGCAAACCACGAAGGGCCTTTAGGGTTGCGGCTTTGGGGCTACTTCATCCGAGCTTCGGCTGTAGGACAATATGCTTAAAGCTCCACTCGGGCGAACTCTCTTCTTCTAACCCCAAAAAATGGGGGAAAAGAAAATAGATCAAATATCTAAGGCAGCCAAGGCAGTTAAGTTGGCTATCTAAGTGAAGCGTAGGGCCGATATATGTCAAACACTGAGTTCGAGATGCCCTCTGAAACCAGACGGCCAGCTTTAAAAGCCCTTCCCAGACCCTTCGCCCCAAAGCCAAAACCCCTAGACCCTGCACCCTGTACACCCAAATGATGCAGGGGCCTCAATCATTCGAGTCGGGTTATCCTCTTATACATTTTCTAAGGTCCCTACATTACCAAGCCCGAAGAGGTGCTCCGGCGCCTGCCGCGCCGCAGGACGCGGAACCATGGTGCAGCGCGTTCCACCTCGTCCGCGTTACCGGGGCGGGGAAGGCTTGGAGGGGCCTGGGCTGCTAGAGTTTAAGGTGAACCCCGCATGTTGAGCGGCGTGGATTGTGCACCCCAGTCAGGAGTACTATACACTATCACGGACCATCAAGAAGCCTTAACGCAACCCCGGCCTCGCATCTCAACTCAGAACACATGGGCTTCGTACCTTGAAACCTACCCCAACATCACAGCGCAAACCAAACCAGAAGTCGAAATCCAAAGCTTCCTTGTTGGACCCCTGAGAATCAAGCCCTCCTTCGTAAGGGCCAGAAAATTACGCTTCCCATCTGTCGTTTTTCATGGAGAGGGCAACACCACCGCTGGTGTTGGGTTCGGAACTGAGGCTTTAGCAGGTTGAGGGTTTGGGTGCTGTTGACTACTTAAAGGATCATGGGACTTAGTAACTAGGGTTATGATTAGGGTAACTATACTTATAACCCCAGTTAAAGTACTTATAACCTTACTTACTAAGTCCCATGATCCTCCAAGTACATCAAGGTCGCGGCTATGGAAGGCTCATGTTGGGCTTCGTTCGGGGATTTCTTCGCTGAGGGACTCTTCAGGATTTCTCTAGGCTTTCTTGTGGCTTCTTCGGGCTTCTGTCAGCTTTCCGGCTACGGTTTCTTTGGGTGTCAGTGAGGGATTGATAGAGGTTCGTCAGGACTTCTTCAAGCTTCTTTAAGGGTTTCTGAAGGCTTCGTTGGCTTTCTGTGGCCTCCTTCGCGGTTCTTAGGGCTTCTTGTGGTGTCTCAGGGTGTGGGACTCCACCGTTCATTCGGGTTTCTTCATGGCTTCAGAGCTTCATTCAACCAAACCCAAACTGGGGCTAAAACCAGAGGTCTGAAGTAGTGTAGGCTTACTTCGAGGGCTCCTTGTAAAGGGGTGCAAACGAGGTACCAGAAGGGCTTAGTATAGCGGGCTTGGCTTGTTGGGGAATGTAGTACGATAATTACAGTAAAGAGCCCGAAGGACTCATGCTGAGAATTATTCGGGCCCCTCTGTTGGTGCCATTGGCCTGGCGGGGGCTGCATGCTGCGCAGGCCCGAGAGGACAACACAAAGCAGCAACTAGGCCTAGAGCACACATCAATGTTCCATAGAATATCGAAGCATGATCAAGCTGAATAGGCTGGCTTGGAGACAATATGAGGTGCAGTCTTGCGAAGAGTGAACCGCGTGGACTCAATGCAGGAAAAATCCTCATAATGGTTTCGGATTCGGCGTTATGAGGTTTCATGTTAAAGCCTCGGATGCCCTGCCATAACCACCAAAACTCCGGCTGCTTGGAAGCGCAATGCTGCCGGAAGTGCCATGCAACCGACTCTTGCAAGAAGGAAATGCCACACCCAGCTCTAGACCCTGACCACAAGCCCCTGCTCTGCACCCTAAACCCTAAACCCGCTCTCGCAAGACTCCAAAACTCAAAGCCCGAGCCCGGGAATTGCCACTGACTGAGGGCCTGCCAGCTTGATCCCATACTGATCCGAAATAAGATAGCAATTGTTCTACACAACCTCAGGTTCAGGTTGTTGGGCCCCCCTCCCTTCACCCTAACTGCCCCCACGAAAAACGCCCGATACTATCAGACAGAACAAGAACTGCAGGTCGCTGCAGAAGCAATCGGGGAAGGAGAAGGATGGTCAAAAGCGGCTACAGGCAACAACGACATCAAATCAATACAGCAAGACAGAAGAAACTGAAAGCCCAAACCCAAAACTTAATCAAAGAATATATATATATATAACTATATATATATATAATTATATATATATATATATATATAAATATATAGTACGTTAGATTATGATTGGATCCCGAATACGATTCGCGAAGAAGCACAGGGGGCACTTTTGGCGGCGGCACATGGAACGCCGGGGCAAGCGGCTGCTTTGGAGAGCCGTGCCGAAGATTTTTGGGTCTGCCGAGACGGTTAGGATGATAAACATCCTGCAGTACCAGGTGCAAAGATCAAAGGTCCAGGCATCAGGCTTTTGTAGGCTTTAAGGGGTTTAGGGCTCCAGCTTCGATTGAATTCCCGATACTGTGAGGTAGTGCAGGATGAAAGCCATCGACCGTTTTACAATTTGCAAGTGGGGATCCGTGGAACTTGGCTCTCCATGAGGATCCCTGCTGGCAGAGAACCTCACGGAAGAGCCTTTACACAGTTATCGACATCCTCATCACCATCACCGCCCAATCACCTAGGCTGGAAATCTTGTGGGCGGAACTACTGCTACACCAACATCCCAAAACCCTGACGACTACCATGAAACCACCCTCAAAGCCGAAACCCACAGCAGCCTGTTTTCAGGCCATGATTCGGTGAAGGTCAGGGGCTTCGCTTTGCGATCTCGCGCCCTTTCCACTCCCCGCTCAGACCCCGCGTGAAGACCCAGCCGGCCCTCGGGTTCAACTTCTTCAGGGGTTTCGTCATATTACAGGGGCCTGAACGAATTACCATAGGGTTCCTTCAAAGGGCTCCTTAAAAGGGATCCTATGAGGGTACTATAAAGGACCCGATAGAATGGACCCAACCTCACGACTTCTCACTGCGAGGTGCAGACTCGAAAGTCTGAAAGCAACTTAGGCCAGCTTCCTTTGAACCATAATGAAAATAATGTGTTTCAATATTCTCTTGGGCTTTATGTGAACAAAAAACAATTCCTAAGGAGACTATCGTTTAAGGAGCCGATGTGGGTTCTTCGAAAGCAGGGTTTAAGTGCACTGGGCTTTGCAGGAGGTTATGCATCTCAGCTTGATAGGGGCTGTATATGGGCTTCAAGAAGAATCCCAAACTAACGCTTTACAAGAGTTCTGACTGGATTTGCTGGCTTTCGAAGAGGATTGAAAATTTTGAGAAGAGGGGAGTTGAACAATCCAAGGGTTTTCAGACTTGGAGTTTTGGGTTTATGGGGCGTTGAACGTTGAACTGGCCGGAGCATGGTTTGGGGCTAGGAAGTGTTCCGCAGAGGCCGGTTGATGGATGTAGGATGGAACGAGACGAAGGCCAACAGAACAACTCCGACATGCCAGAGTTGGGGATCTGGGATTTAGACTGTACTTGGAGGTTCATGGGTAGTTACAAGCGTGTTATAAGTCCCCTGATTTATGGCTACCCTACTTATAACCCCACTTCTAACTAGCCAGTGATCAGACTTCACCAACAAAAGAGGCGACAGCTGTCACTACAGTTGAAAAAATGAATCCTGCCCAAAAACATGTGGGATCTCACCATGACTAGTACCCCTGCCGAGATCGCTGCTGCTTGGCTAACTTGAGGTACTTCTGGCCTTCACACACACACGCGTTTCGACATTCACGGCAAAGCAGTGGAGACATCACTATCATCAGCGGCAGCACGTTTAATCAGCTTTCTCAACAGCAATTCCCCTACTACTTCTGACGTCTGATAGTCCCTCCCACTCCTACTCCTGCTCCGGCTCCTACTGCGACTACTACCACTACCTCTACCTCTACCTCTGCCACCGCGACCACTACCACTACCACCACCACCACCACCCACCACCACCACCACTACCACTACCACACAGCCAGTACTTCTACTACTCCTGCTGAAGCACTACCACCAGTACTAACACCAGCACCGGTCAGCTCTATGTCGCGAGTAGCTCTCGCAACACACTCTTCTTTGACCCGCAGCACGAGTAAAGCAACAAATATAAGGGCAGGAGCATAACGAGATCCCAGATTAAAGATGTTAAGATGTTAAATACTTCACGCGGACAGTTTCTTCCAACATGCAAAAGTGCGAGCCTTGCACCGCCAGTTCGGCGTCAATCTGCAAGGGGCAGATTTGAAGAATGTAACGGCAATCTAAGGCCCATTCTCCAGTGCCACCGGGAAGGCTGCTGCCTACGAGCCTACTATGCCTACTGCTGCCATCGGTGTGATATCTGCAAGGCTTCAGGTTTAGCGTTTAGGGCTTGAGGCTGGGTTGCGAGGAGAGTGAGATGCCCGACTCAAGCTCTCTGTTGTGGTGCTCATATGAACAACCACGGCAAGGAAGTCGCAGTGGACTTTTGTTCTGCTACACTCAAGAAATTCATAAGGCCTCCCTCAAAAACCCTCAAATCCGTGGCTTCCGGCAGCAACCCCGAACCCTCAAACTCACATCGACGAGCGCCTCGAAAACTTCGCCCTTGCGAATGACAGTACCCAGCGCACGACTCGACCTTTGGCTTCAGCCCAGAAATCCCAATACCCCTTAATTAAGGAATATACCTTAAATCATAATATCAAGGCCTCTATAATTTAAGGTCTATTCCTTAATTAAGGGATATTGGGGTCCCCTAAACCCTAAACCTTATAGATCCCTTAAAGGATCCCTTAACGGAACCCTAGGTCCCTAGGTCTATTCCTTAATTAAGGGGTATTGGGTTCTCTGGGAGGGCTCCAGGACGTGGAGCTTCGGAGGCGCTAAAAAAGGGGAGCCTCAGAGGGCTCTCTGAGGCTCCGGTAGATTGCTGGGCCCAATGATGCGGTTTAAAGTTTAGGGTTTAGAGTTTAGGGTTTAGAGTTTAGGGTTTAGAGTTTAGGGTTTAGGGTTTAGGGTTTGCAGGCTGCGCGAAATCCTTGGGGGTCCTGATGACACAAAGGACATTGAGAAACAGACATTGAAGGCCCTGAGCCTGTGGAGGGGAGCGTTCGGGCTTTGTCTTCATCACCGGGTCTTCTCCACTCAGCAGGCACTCTTACTACTCTCAACCATATCCCAGTGCAAGCATTGTGAAGAACCTGTCCATTCTGAGGCCCGATTAGTGTAAGTCATGGAAGCAATAACCCTCCCGATCAGCATACCAGTCCCTCAATGCCAGAACCGCCTAGCGCAGAGGGTCCGGACACGTCCGCTTTCTCCCGGATTCGGATGTTCGTCAGCGCCTCGGCTGGGACTTTGGCCCTGTTAGGGCTTTTCTGTGAGTTGGGGCTGGGCTTTCCGGGGAGATGACTCGGCATGTTGCGGGCCGGGTGACGTCAGGTGGTCGCGGGAAGTTCGATCTTCCTTCTCAAACTTTCACAACTCCTCCGGTCCTCCGGGGCATCGGCATAGAACCAGGCTCTCGTGGCAGTGGGCATAGGCTGCCCGTTCAAGCCCATCTGAGGCCAGGGCGGGGCTGCGATGCCACCCCCACAAAAGCCCTAAACTCTAAGCTTTCGAAGCCTCTGAAGCCGCCCTGAGGCCCTGAGGCGTGAGACCTCAATCCCAAAGCCCAGCTTAAAGCTTTCACCGAAAAGCTTGACATGGGCGAGAAACCAAGCTAACGCTTGCTGCGGCTTCGGCTGCTTGGCCTAGGGAACCTGACGAAGAGCCCCGGCGAGATGTTGCGCTCAAGGTTGCAGGCTGGAGGCTTTCTATGGTTTTCGCTTAAAGGATCATGGGACTTAGTAACTAGGGTTATAATTAGGGTAACTATACTTATAACCCCAACTACGGTACTTATAACCTTACTTACTAAGTCCCATGATCCTCCAAGCGGGCTTATGGATGTGGTGCACCGGCAATGCTGGAAGAAGCTGCAGCAGCAGTGGGAGAAGGGGTAGCACAGGAGCAGGCGGTGCAGAAGCAGGAGTCGAAGAAGTTGTCGCAGTTGTAGGTACTGGTAGTGGTAGTGGCAGTGGTAGTGGAAGTAGTAGTGGTAGTAGTAGTAGTAGTAGTAGTAGTAGTAGCAGCAGCAGCAGAAGTAGTAGTAGTAGTAGCAGTCGTCGTCGTCGTAGTTGTGAACACTGGTTCTTGTATGATGATTGAAATCATCAGTTATGCTAGCCACACTCATATTCTGTTTTGTGCCGTTGTTGACTGCATCCTGATGCACTCAATCTGATTAATCGCCCGACCCTGAAACCCTCTCAACGGCAAACGGCCACAGCCTTCTCACGAGGCTTGTACGTCTCGTAAAACGACTCCTCTTGGAATGGGTTCCTGTGGCAGAGTCGTGGCAGCACAGCACTTCTTTCGAGTTTTGTACCTCGAACTCATGCCGAGACGCTGGTTTGCAAACGATCTCAACTCTGAGATACTGCCGTCAATATTTTCTCTGTCCTACCCAGCAAATTCACAATGTTCATGACCGGTGGTCTCAAGGAAAAACTCTCGCCCCCCAGCGCCCCAGGCACAGCCCCGCTGCGGACCTGAAGGCCTCGGAAAATCCTCCAGGCGGAGCGCCCGCCCCGGGCCCTGGAAAAGCTGAAAGCTTCGGGTTTGAATCCAAGCGTTCGAAGTTTGCGGGGTATCTGTGTGTGTGTGTGTGCACACGTGCTGTGGGTGTAGCTTGGATTGGATGTTCCAAGTGCACCTGGGGCACGGCATGGTAGCTTTCCATGGTAGCAATGTAAAAAACCAACTAGTTGTGGAGGAGCCGGGACTTGAAGCAGTAGGAGTAGCAGAAGGAGCCACCAGGTGCAGCTAGCAGCCCAAACAGTTGGCGTTCAACACGAGGAATCGGATGAATAGGAGAAATAACAACAACAATAACTTTTTGACTATGATGTTAATAACAAACACAGGAGTAGTAGTACTTGTAGTAGTCGTCGTAGTAGCAGTAGTAATCAGTAGTAGTAGCAGTAGCAGTAGCAGTAGCAGTAGCAGTAGCAGTAGCAGTAGCAGTAGCGGTAGCGGTAGCGGTAGCGGTAGCGGTAGCGGTAGCGGTCGTAGCAGTAGTGGCAGTCGTGGCAGCAGTAGACGTAGTAGTAGTCGTAGTCGCATTAGTCGCAGTAGTCGCCGCAGTAGCAGCTGTGCTGGTGGTGGTCGTTGTCGTCGTAGTACAGCAGTAGAACTGCAGTAAAGGCTACTGGTGCTGTTGCTACGACGATGGCCTTCAACAACTCCGGGCCCCGCACGTCCAACTGCTGCCCGAGACACATGACCGGCCCTGGCACGTGTGCTTCTTCGCCACACAGGCCCAGACACAAACCATCGGTACTACGACAAAAATATCAGCATAGAATTCAAGGTCATATGGTGGTTGAGTTCAAGGACCTTTTGCACCATTCACCATCCCCGGCTGCAAGCCTCGCATCCTCTGGCTGTAACAAGCTCGTGACGAACGCAACCTGACGAACAGTTTGCACGTTTGAGGATTCAAGGACCTACGATGCGGGAATACTCGACTCTATGACAGGAGCTGCTGCGAGTCAGACCTGTAGTCTGCCCATTAGGAGTGAATGAGTCGAGGTCTTTTGATATCAGAAACTCCGAGCTACGTGTTTGACAGGTGGTCTAAGCGAATTGAAAATTAAGGCGGCGCGAAAACAGGTGCTTTGGCCGTAAAACAAATCTTGCTTTTGGCATACCATCGCCAGCTTACACTGTTGCAACATGACGGTGTCGAGCATGCGTCTTCAAGCTACTGCAAGCTACGATCGGAAGACAAACACCCTGAATGCCGTTTGACCAACGACTACAAAGGCCACACCAACACGGCACAAGCGCAAACCGCAACAAAACCCTGCCTGTCTTGCCAATAATGCTCCACTGGCAAGCAAGACCAAGCTTCTGCTCAAGGACATGGCTGGCGGCTCGATCCTATCTACTTCAACCGCAACATGCTTTGGTTAAAGAAGCTACCTCGACTCCATATCTGATGTGGAATCTTCTGCTGCACGACCACCATGCTGCAAATGCAGAGCCTTCGTTTGATCCGGATACAACAAAACCACCGATGGCGTCCCCTAAAAGTTCGTACAACCGGGGTTCAAATGCAAACCGCAAACAACGATCAAACATTTGTGCGCGAGCAAACACAAACCACGGCATGTCATACGTTTGCACCGAATGGACGCATCCAGGCACACACTGTCAAACGATTGCGAGCGGACCTCTTCTCAATCGAAACGCTGCATTTGTTTTGCTCTTTGACCTGGCTGACAAACGAACTCAAACATCGTCCAGACGCCAACAGCCAGCAGCTCGTGTAGACCCAATTCGTGCCATGGCAGCCAAAACGTTGAAGGAATACAGGGCTGAGACGACCTCCTCGTACGATAAACGGGCGTCCCGTCCCGGTGCGACATCTGCAGCAGCCGCTCCATGGCGGGCCGGTACTTCTTCGGGACATCCTGCATGACCAAGCCATCGGTATGCATTTCACGTACCGCACCACGACGTACTCGGCCTCCATGATGAAATCGTGTATCGGCTGGTAGCTGCTGTCGAGAGCAGGCTCCGTCACCCATATGTGATCCCAGTGGGTTCCCCCCACTGCATCCGTGAAGGCAGCCATCTTCATCTACTTGATGATTGGAGGTCTTCATGGAATACACGAGCTCTAAATTCCGAACGAACAGGCCCACGAGGCTGTTGACGGCCAGCTTCGCGCAGTGCTTCTCGCCCTCAGGCCAGCCCTGCTCCATGCGCTCGAGAACCAGCTCCACGGCTGGGCTGCTCTTTTGCTCCGACGACCCCCGTTGCGCAGGGCACCAGACCATGGAGCCTACCTTTTACGCTTGTTGCATGGGGAAGAGTTAATTCCCTCGCCGCGATGAGTGCTGTGGCACACCAGCCGTGCGGGGAAGCGCCAAGCGGGACAATCTCAGTTGCGGCGCAGGGCCAGAGCAAAGAGAAGAGGCCTGGGGGTTCAGGACGACTCGCACTGACTCACTCGCCCGCACAGCACTTGCAAAAGCAATCTAGCAAAATCGTACAGTGTGAGAAAGGTCTGTTTGCAAGGTTCACATGTTTCCGAGCGTTCCACTTGTTATTTTGAGTTTTGAAGGAACACCGGCAAATTGCAAAACAGAGCTGGCGAGGTTTATATACTGTTGCACGCAACGGCCAGCTGTGTACGCAGATATGTGGCATCTGCTCGACGAAAAAACGGTATAACTGGGCCCCAGAAATGGCTCCCAAATCTGAGCTCTAATTTGGGGCCCCGAATTGCGTGAGCTTGTATGTCCAACGAAGAAAGCCAAAATCTGGGGCCCGTTTCGGTGCCCGGACTAGAGCTGCTTTTTGGAACCCGTTTCAGCTGGATTCCTTCCGCATGCTGTTTGGATCAACGTCCAGGAAAGCCAACATGCTATGAAATGTGAATTACAAGTGCTTCTGTTCTTGTTCGTACAATATCTTTCCCGCGCAGGGGAAACCCTTCGAGGCTTCCTACGATTCTGTAGGAAAAAAGAGCTTCTGTAAGTGGAGCTTCCAGACGCAAAGCACCGCGCACGTACAGCAAGCAATCGAAACAGTTTGAAGCAAAATCCTCGCATCAGCGTGCCAGCATTTAGCCGCAGCGAACTTATCAAAAGCATTACAATAGAAGGCGGCGAGCCTCATGTACGTGAGCCTGTTTAACAACTGCAAACAGCAAACTTTCCGCCCACAAGTTCCCGTCAAAACGCAGTTTGATATTGCACAAAAGATTGCAAAAACTTTAATTCGAAAAATTCTGTCATGAGACTGTTCGCACTGACAAGAAGCGAGCAACATGACTTGCAATGCACGGGCTCCACATGTTTCCACGCTGCAGTGCAACGATTGTCGAAAGAGTGCACGAAAGAGGAAGAAAGAAGGAGAGCAGCATGGCCGATGCAATGCTCCGTCCCAACTTCTTAGAAGACTTGGAACCGCACAAAGCCGTGGCCCGCAGCATCCTGGACAAGCTGGTAAGAAAAAAGCCGCTCGACGGCTGGTGGAGAAAGCCAAAAAGCCGAAAACGGCAGCAGGTGCTGTGGAGAACTTTGGTAGATGCGAAACGACGCAGCTACTCTTGGTGTACTTGTGCACATGGTCGGCCACCACGACTTCCGACGCCGCCAAGCCTGAGGATTTCACTCGCGAGCAAGTCTGCCAAGTGATGATAAGCAGCCTCGCGGCTTGCCAAGTCAACGTATCTGCACAGCAGAAGGTCGTTGTCAACAACAAATGGTGGTGTATCGTGAACTTCATCGGAACTTGCAGCCGCATCACCATGTGGCATTATCATTAAAATTATCCAAGCCAGCACGCTGGAGACCTTGGAAGCTTGAGTTGCAGAACACACACAGTGGAGGCCCCTTGCGGTGCACATGTTGTCGACGGATTTTTCGGTCTCGAAAATCCGAGCCCTTGGTGGCCAGCGCCTCGCGCTGGTCAATCCAGCCAATCGCTTGCTCTTCAACTTCCA